TTTAGTTTATAACTTCATTAAAATGTATGAATAATGTTTTTAAAGTTAGACATATCACATTCACATACCTACATGTCCATAGAGTTCTTACTATTCACCTGCAATATCAACACGAATTCGATTTATTATTTTTACCTTGTACGTGTGTGTGATAAACTTTGTTTTTAATGGCTATATAATATCGAATAATTATTAATTATAAGTTATAACTGCCAAAAGCGGTTTCAGTAAAATTTTTGATTTTTTCTTTAATGATGAAAATCAGTAAAAAGTTGTTTATGGAACAATTTTGTTGTTAAATGCTTCACTTATATAGTTTCACTATTTGGACATTCTGGCAATGCCTATCTGAAGTAATACGTGTTATACAAAATACATTCGTAATTCGTAAATATAATGTTATTGTATCCCGATTTCTGATCACTCGAGTTTTATTGATAATTTTAACGTTTCGTTTAAATATTAAATCAGTGAATACTGAATACACTACCTATATGGAACTTCAACTTTCTGTATTTTACGCCTTAGTAAATATACGAATATTTAGAGTATTTTTCGCCGAAACGTTTCTAAAAATGAATAATCTAACTTTGCATGGGTGGTTGAAAAAATACACTGCAGATGTTTATTGTAAGATTATTTCTAGAAGCATTATAATGACTAATACTTTTTCATATTTTAAGTAGGTATTTTAAAAGTCTTAATTCTTAGAACTAAGTTTATACTTTTAATATAAACCCTATAATATGTATTACTGTTGCATATTTTTGGAATACATCCAATGGTCAAAGTATAATAGCGTTCGTCTAACAGGTAGTTTTCTCTCAGATTAAATTTAATCATTATTCATCAAAATGTTCAACGAAAGTGTATAGTTATGCATCGTATTTATATGTGTTCATTTTTTTTTTTTTTACTATGTAACAAAAAACAACTGTATACAATCATATTATTTTCATCACGATAATGAATTATAAACTCATACATTAGATATTATTTGTAGTAAATTATAATTTGCTTATTCTAGAATTCAAAGAGTAAGATTAGAAGATGTGTTGTCTGATGTAATGTCGGCACCGCGCCAGGAACGATGCAGTCAAGCTCGGCTACAGATTGTACTGGTTTGTCCAATATTTTTGGATCGGGTGCTCGCACATTCTGGTCGTTCCGATTGTCTAAGCGCATTGCTGCAAACCAATCGTATGTTGGCTTTATTGGTTGGTGTTGCAGATTCAGACGTAACAGAACAACACAAGACTGGTGAGTGTTGGTCTACGTATTTCAGCATTATTCATTAAACATTTTTATAACATTAACCTTTTATACTCCAGTATAGGTAACGATTTGTCGACAAATACTCACTGTATTTGTTAATAACATACGTTAGCACCTGTCTGTTTATTATGTTATGAACATCAAAATATGACTAAAACTGTTTTTAATTCTAATTTCAGTAATGGTAGACTATGATACGTGGAGAAAAATGGCCGTGAAAGATCAAGATCGAGAATCTGTTGGCGACTTTTACGGAGTGTCKATGGATATTCTCAGCAAATCGATGCATGTCCAACAGGCGATTAGTGTGCCCGAAGAGGATACGAAATTCTCCATTACTCCCAAAAAGATAAAAATTGTGAGTATAAATCTACCTGTTAACATACATAACATTTATAGGACTAAAGTTGGTTTTTCTGTTCTGTAAAAAGTATATTTYGTGACTAATCAATAAACTGTAATAGGGCCAAAACAAACTCATCGTTTTATTATCAGAACCGTTAGTGTCGGAGGACAATGTCGTAATCACCGTAGATAAAAACGGGCACAAAATAGAAGTGACGAACGTGACGAGAAGAAATCCGTATACGCTACAATTTAAAATGCCATGTTAGTGCATTATAATTATTAAAAATAAAATATTTATAATAAGTAGATAATAAATCTATTTTATAAATTATRCYGATACAATGGCATATTTCTTAAAAATCAATAGACTCATAGCATTATTGTTCATTATTACAGTGAGTTGTTTGCAAGTATCTGTCTTGGTAAACGTTATCGTCGAAAAAAATGGCCAGCCGCTTGGTCAACGTTCAGTGAAGTGCGAGAGTCGCATGAGAGAATTAGATCAATTGATCCGTTCGTTGGACAATCCGTTGAATTTTTTGTGTCAAGTAAGGATAATTATTATTTTTTTTAATAATATAATAATACGTTATGGGCAAAATAAATAATGTTTATTTTTCTCTAGACGTTTGGCTTGAATCCCGTCGATAGAGAGCAATTAGATTTGTTTTTGGTCACGGCTTATGTGAAGAATGTTCCACCCAATTTCCATCTCCTTCAACCAGCTGGATCTCGATTCCAGTACTGTAAGTTGATGATTGCGTTATATATATATAGTGACATAGTGTGTTCCGTGAGGATATACCCATTAGCCGTAGGGGGGGACTAACGGTCCGGATAAAAGTCCAGTTTTTGCCGCTTTATCTGAAAACTAATAAAATTGTTAAAAAACATGCGATTGATGAAATAAAATATTGAAAGGTAAACATTTTTAACAAAATAAACTCTATAAAATAGGTATCTTTAGTTTTTTTCAAAAATTAAAAAATAATAATTTTTTTWAAACTTTTTTACCGAAAAATTTAATAAAATTAGAAAATAAAATACATGTGATCCCAAATCTATGTGAGACTAATAAAAAAAAAACAAATTTATGATATATTAACTATCTCGGGAAATACCACAATGGGTGAAACCTCGGGGATGCATTATGGGGCTTAAACCTATAACCTGTAGGTATAATGCATAATGTTAATAGTGTTAATACTTAATGACAACATTAATTAAATGTTTTCTCTCGTTTTTCATGTTTGTCTATAGCTACAACGAAAAAAATATAAATTATTGCAATTTATTTATGTATTATTACTATTATTATTATTCATTTTTTTTTTTTTTTTTTTGAAAATAAATCTAGAGCTAAATTTTAGGACATAACAAAATTTATTTGATTGCTAATAAATCAAACTACTTTAATTTTTTATAACCCAAGATTAAGAGTATGTAATAGTGGTATTTGTTGTCTCCGTCTTACCAGCGCGTAATATACCAAATTTACGCTCAGCAGAACACTTGTAGCTCCTTTAGTTTAAAAATTACAGTGAATCGACCTGTTATGAAAATTGATGATAAGAACATTATCTGTGTTTGTACGTTGATTTTTTAGGATAATTCAATTTTTAAGTGAGTTATGAGCATTGTTAATGTACTGTATATTAAAATATGTATATACAAATACCACTGTTACGTACTCTTAAGTAAATATACTATACCAGACATTATTTATATATAAATTAGCTATATATAATTATTCTAAATTATTTAAAAATGCACGCATAATAAATCACATAACAATCATTATAAACATTACAGAATATTATTCGAANTTTTTTTTTTTTTTTTGAAAATAAATCTAGAGCTAAATTTTAGGACTTAACAAAACTTATTTGATTGCTAATAAATCAAACTACTTTAATTTTTTATAAACCAAGATTAAGAGTATGTAATAGTGGTATTTGTTGTCTCCGTCTTACCAGCGCGTAATATAGCAAATTTACGCTCAGCAGAACACTCGTAGCGCCTTTAGTTTAAAAATTACAGTGAATCGACCTGTTATGAAACTTGATGGTAAGAACATTATCTGTGTTTGTACGTTGGTTTTTTAGGAAAATTCAATTTTTAAGTGAGTTTTGAGCATTGTTAATGTACTGTATATTAAAATATGTATATACAAATACCACTGTTACGTACTCTTGAGTAAATATACTATACTAGACATTATTTATTTAGAAATTAGCTATATATAATTATTCTAAATTATTTAAAAATGCACGCATAATAAATCACATAACAATCATTATAAACATTACAGAATATTATTCGAAAACAATTATACTTAGTGTAAGTAGGTATCTTCTAAAGGTWTCATACTGTTTGTATATTTCACGAAGTCTATATTAGCYTTATTTATTAGTACCTATAGTATATTTTTGTTATTGATACATACATTTGTTTAATGTTCGAAAACGATTGGTACATCTCAAAATATTTTGTTCGAATTAAAACTACACCCGGATCAATTCAAAACTCCTCCGTTGCACAACTCAATATTAAAACATTTTTCTACCACAAACCATTTAACAATGTGACTCGCAAGGCGCTTAAATWYGGGGTATAAATGCAGGGACTGGGTGCAGACTCATATTATATAGTTTGTTGCAGGGTCTWCGTATAAAAAACAAGAACTACGCATAATAATCGTAAACCATAATATTATATCCTATAGTGTCTTAGTACAGTGCTTAGGCGTCTTAGTGTACCTATTTTTTTTTTTAATTTCAATAATATGGTCGCAGGTCACGAGGAATACCCAACCATGTTGCACTTCGCCGCCAAACACGGGCTAGAGAAATTGTCGTGGCACTTGCTGGAAAGTCCGGGCGGCGAACAGGCGTGCCAACTGCGGAACTCGTCGCAGTTGACGCCCGCGGACGTGGCCGAGGCGTCCAACCACCAGAAGCTCGCCCAGGCACTGCGGGCGTACGTGCAGATGACTGAGCTGACTAGCATGTATAGCATACTCAAAGGCATATCGGACGGACACCACCCGCAGCCGGCTGGCGACGACCCGGACGCCAACTATATGCTACCGCGACCCCTCAACGACAGCTACCTGGTGCCGCCCGCGCCCAGGCCGGTGCAGGCCGAACAGCCGCAGCAGAACCACTGTTACACGAACGTGGGTTCGCCGCTCACGTCCAACGCGACCATGTTCAACTACCAGATACCGCCGCCACCGCAGTCYATTTTCGCCACCAACTACCAGGTGCCCACCAACGGTCGGCCGTACAGTCCGGCGAGTGGCGCGTGGTCTCCCACCCATCCAGTGGTGCCTTCTTCGCCTGTCGACCCAGTTCCTTCTCCGTTGGGTTACTTGGAAATGAGTTCTTCCAGTAAGTATATGCACTTCCTCGCCGGAAATGAGTTCATAGTCACTAATAAGACCCCGAAATTACGCTTTATTACTGTTTTATTTTGTGTCATCCGATGTTTGATGAAAAACGTACATTTTTGATTTTTGTCATATCTCGTACAATGTTATAAATTTTCTGYCAAAAAATATAAACATCCACTTCTTAGGAGATCGTCGTAAAGAACATGTATTGAAAACAAAAAATACAAACGTCACTAAAACCCCCTGAGCCTTACAGAGACTATGTAGATCTTGCAGTTGTCAAATCGAGTTTTAAAACTATTGTCAAAAATATAACCTATACAATGTATACCTACATTCAAACTCGCATTGGCTTTTACAGTCGWCTTCTTCCTAAACAAACGATTTTAATTAATTTCTCTTTCTTGTCTAATTTAAGGTCTAGGATCCGCCAATTATTTGCGAGGAAACCTATCATTCAATGACAGTGTCATTAACAAATCAGCTGGAAACAAACCAAACGATTTCTCGATACCTAGCTCTCGTGGTATGCATTATTGTTTTTAGTTTACCACTTAAACTCTCAAATGTACTATAAATGATTTTCTCGTGTATAGGCAGTAATCAAATGTTGTCTACACCTCAAGATGAGCTATTGGAAATCATACACGATTTCAAAAATAACGTTCTAACTATAAACGAGGTAGAAAATCTAGTCGAAACGTGGAAAAACCGAAATGATGTGCAACAGTCTTTCAAAGAAAAACAGGTAATAAACAGGTGGTGTGGGCCAGTMTTTTGTGATTATTGTGTAAATATATTTTTAATAACATAATATAGGAGCAAYTAAATCAAATGAGAGTCGAATATGATCGAATCCAACAACGCATGAAAGATCAATTAAAACGACCTACCCCTTTCGATCGTATCAAAAAATTCTTTGGCAAAAACAAATCGAAACGTAAGAATATTTTGTTTTGTATCGTATTAATAAATTATCGTTTTAATATACTCTTTTAAATATGTATTATTGTTTAAATTATTACTAATTACTGATACTTAGTTGTATCTATTATTCAAATAATTCGTCAAATAAACATTAAAACCATATGTTTACAGATTCTGAAATTCCACACGAAAACTTGACGAAAAGAAGTGGTTCAGAAAATCATTCTAAAAGACCATCCAGTAGTCTYAGTCTACAAAGCTCGAGCAGTAAGTTATCTAATAACGTTAATTTCAATAATAATAATTACTAATAATTGTTATATGTGTCATGACAGGTTCTACTTCTTGTGGTCGATCGAGTACTGTGAGCACTAGCAGCGTGAATGACAACCATGCAACCCAACAAGAAAATTTGGATGATGGAAAGGTAATGGAAAAAAATAATCAAATACAATATCAACAGACGAATCGCGTTTATAGCTGTAATTGTATTCTCTAGAATTATTCGTTATTTCATCTGCTTACAATTTTTTTACATGTTTACATGTTTATATAATTATCTTGCACTTTATACACTTTAAATGTATTACAAATCACCAGTTTCAAACCTCCAAAAAAAAAAAAATATTAAATTTTTATCAAAGCARAGCATTTTAAGTTAYATACCTAATACATTTATTGATTAGGTGTATATTATGTTATATTTAAGGTCAATATYGACATGTTTTTCACAGAAAATGTGTTTGTATGTATGTTTGAATCCGTTGTCACTTCGTCAGACATAGCACAAAATTAATAGTTTGCTTTTAATAAGTTTGAGTGTGGAACCCTATCGATCTGTCTTTGTATACTATATTATCAGTATTAATGATAACCAGCAATAACTAGTATCAATTAACCGATATACACAATTGATAAACATATTATATGCATTTATTTATACCAGTAAGCCTCCTCCGCCTCCTTTCGGTGTATTTTGCATTTTCGAAATTTACACTAAAACGCTTACTATTGAGTATCGCTAAATACGTTTTTTTCTTTTCTCTGTTTTGATTCTATAGCCTCTGAAGTCGTCTTTCTCGTACTTCGATCAGCCACATTCGTTCTCAACGTTCCTGCAGCAGGGTAACAAAACGACTGCCGACTTCGCGGGTCACGATTACGGCAACGTGGTGTACTCGCCCGTGGGCTCCGCGACCGCCGAGACCATCATGGAAGAAGAAATCGAAATGCCGTCCTGTAACGCTTCCCAGGCCCTCGGCGCGTCGGCCATCCGGTGCATGACCGGAATCGCGTGTACGATCGCCACTTCACCCACAGACGTCGACAAGTCCGAACACGACGAGGCAGCCGGATTCGAGCAGTCTTTCGGCAGCCGCGGTGACGGTGGCAGCTCCGTCAGCGGTGCGAATTTCGAAGACGTCGAAGACAAGGTGCAGAGGTTGTTCGACAACATGCCAGAATACACGAATGTCACGGTTACCGACCGGAACTCCCGAAAATACACGCCGTTACAGACGTGAACGGCAAAAAAATAAAACTGTGTACAGTCGATCGCCAYCGAATTTATATCGAATCTTTCCGCATAAAAACTAACAGTTATATACTATACCGTTGATGCGTATAAGATAATAAGACAATATATTTGTTATATTATAATAATACATATTTTTAGTTGTGTACGACGAGTACGATTTCCAGAATCAATGTCGACGGCATGATAATATTATTTTCTAGCCACTCGAAGTCTATGTAAAATAATATAATACATGTAATAGGCTAATCTATATACAATATAAGTGCGTCGTTTAAATAACTTTTTACGATACGTTTACGTAACGGACTGGATAGTGATAATATATATTATTAAATATTTTTATACTGGTGACTAAGATTAATAAAATATAATTAGTTCTAAAATGAAAAGTGTTAATAAGCGTATGATACACCGAGTATATGAACCTCGCTAGAATATGTACGCGTTTAATAAACAAAATAGTGTACTTTTGAAATTTGAACGGTTTAATTCGTTTTATTTATGAAACTATGATATTATTGTTGTTTATGTTATGATTTTTGTTTATATTTTTACTTCTTGAAATAAACTTTTTTTAAATAAATATAAGTATATAATATATAATATCGATTTTTTAATTCTGAGCTTAGAGATGAATGTATTGATTTTACAACGATCTTTGTGTAAGCAAGAAGATTTATAGCAGAAAATTTATAATTATCAACTTTGATGTCCTTTCTGATAAGTAAGTAAATATAGTTGGCTCTTTTAAGGTTAGGTTAAGTTAAAAAGTACAAATACTTTTTAGAATAAAAGAAAAAACAGGAATGTTTAATACAAAACTAGTTTTGACAAAATAGATATTCTTATATTCTTATTACAAAAACGAATAACCATAGTTACTTACAATATTTACCAAATGTTTATTATGCCATTATTGTTTACGAACTATTTATAGACATTTTCATTTTTTCCAATAAATATTGTTAGTAAACAATGTTTACCTTTTTTTATAAACATCGTAAATGTAATACAAGGTTTCTTATGAGTTTTTATACCTTAAACAAAGTAAAGTTTATCAGAAAGTCAAATTAAATTTATATGAACATTTGAAGTTCAAATTGATTTAAGATTTTTCTTTTTTAACTATTTATAGTTTGAAATTTAAAATGTTTCAATTTGATTAACTTTATTTTTAGTTCTACTAATAACCTACAGCTTATGAGAAACCTTATATTCGATTTGGAATACTTAAATATAAATATTTCAAATTAAACGAATTTTCAGCTATAAAATAATTTTGTAATTTTTTCAGTATATTCTTACCTTAAATGCTTATAAAAATATTGTGACTGTGTATTTTCAATATTTTTTAATTGGTAAATGACGAATCGGTAGGATTAAATCCTCAATATCTTAGGCCTAGTGAAAAAATTGTTATCGACAGTTATTATAGAAAAAATGAAATTAATAATAATGTCAAATTTAAGTATTGTTGTAGGTATCGGGAGAGAGAGGTCGATGTCAGTAGAACTTCGGGGTGACACCGACTGAAGTTTTATGTAATACCATTGATTGAATATAGATTAAGTTCATTTAATCAATGCGGTAATACCGTATTTAATTATCCATCCCGTATTCCCGTGGTTTGATAATATAATTTTGTGGCACGGCGTAATATATAGGCAAAATAGGTACGTATCCACGATCAAATACGTATTGATATTATAGTTATTACTGTTATTAGTTTATTACTTATTACATCGACTATTAATTATTATAGTCTATAATACCTATAACCAGCTATTATGAATTATTAAAGTCACACTACCTGCACCAGAAAACTGCAACTCGGAATTTATTGGTCTTGAAATATATCTTGAAATCGACTGATCATGTGTAATGTAAGAACACATTTTAATATGACCATTAATAATTATAATTTTTTTCTACAATTGTACTATTTGTCAGTTGTGTCTATTATCTTTTTATAGCAGTATATAAATTATTCAATTTTCGACTTATGCATTTCTTATTTCACGGTTCAAAAAGCACCGTAGCGCCTCATTCTCATTTGTTCTTTAAACAATAAATAATTTGAATTTTTATTTTTATTTTTAAATATATTTACCTACAAGCAAAATTTTCAAATTTTTGAGATATGTTTTAATACTTATGAACGAGTTATTTCTGAGTTATCAAAATGTTTAGATTAAGGAGAATAGCTGTCCTTAAGAATGAATTTATAAAAATTTTAATTATGCGTCATATTGGACTTGGTATTTATTAAACTTGAACTATTTTTAAAAATTATTAATGTAAATTTATGAACATTAATCACTGAAATTTCTATACTACTCAAGTGACAAAATAAATACATTTTTGTCAATCAAGACAAACTTATGAGGAATCTTGAATTAAATTTCAAATCTTAGATTTAAAAGAACATTATTTATGAATTTCTAGCTTAAAATAATTTGCGAATTTTCATGATTTTATCAAAATTCAAACTTTGAATGCTTATAAAAAGAAAAATTGTGACCATGCTTTTTTTTTCAACTACTATTATAACAATATGTTAGGGGCCTTGTATTACATTTTTAAGCTTTACTACCCAACAAATAATTTTTTATAGACATTAATAGAAAAAAAAAACTAAAAAAGTTGAAAAATTAAAATGTCAGTAAACAGCTCAAAACTAATCAAAATATTTTGAAAATTTTATCAAATATAGAAAATACCTATATAAACATTCAGTGAAAATGTCTAGTATCTGCGGATATTTGATTCATTTGCAACTTAAATACTTAAAAATAATGTACATGAAAATATAAATTTTTATGTATGTATATGTATGCACTATGCATATAGTATAATATATTTAATATAAATATATATTTTTAATATTCTTTATAACAGGTCAACACTGAATTTATATATATATATATATATATATATATATATATAGTGCAGCATGTCTCCAGACACGTACATAAGAATCATGTAATAAAATTAAACCTTAATTAGCCTGTGAAAAAGTTACAAATTATTATTAAACATATTTTAATATTAGTAAAATATTTAAATACAACAAACACATAATTTATATAATTTTATGTTTAAGTGAGTTTTAATAAAACGTGTGCATATTGTTAGTTGTCATAAATCTATGATATAATAATGTAGGTAATAAAATCAAAATTAACTGTAGCCGTCTGTAATCATATCTTATATATTTATTTTAAATTATTATAGACTATGAGTAAAGTTTTCCATTCACGATAGATATAATCTAATTGGATTTTTACAAACATCAATATTCAGCATAACCAGTAATACCTAAATAGTAATGATAATATTTTATGAGATATACTATAGTATGATATCATTCCACATTTCCACATATTATGGTGATTGATGAATTGTTAGAATTTAGTCTCAAGACATTTGTATTAATGAAGCTGCAATAACTATATACCCTATCATCAACACTTATCCACCCCTTTGAATATTTTAAATAGAAATGTTATGATTATCAAATACAAATTTAGTTCAGTATTGGGTATATAATTAAATTTTATGAAAAATGAATAGGTATAGATGAAATAATATGTTATAACTTAGTTCCCAAACATTTTAATTATACATATAATAACTTTAATAGGTACATATTATGCACTGTCTTTCAATATTTTCCATATCATTTAAAAGTAAATCAATGCCGGCGTACTATCCATTAATACATATTATTATATTACGAATTCTTGCCTTTTGTTTATATAACTTATAAGTTATAATGAAAATATTGTGTTGATATAATAGTATCTAATACATAATAGATAATATGTATTTTAAACAGATAACTACACATATTATATATGTTCGATACACATAACACGTATGAAGAACGTTATTGATTCACATAAGTTAATTACATTTTTATCGGCAGTGGTTAGTATAAATTTAACTGCTTATATTTTGCACATCTAATTTTGTTGAATCTCGATGGTCTCGTGGTTCTCGTGATTCTCTTGGTCTCGTAAAAAATGAAATAATATCGATTGGCAGTGGGAATACGATTGTAGAATTCTTTTCAGCTGATATTGTGTTCAATGTCTGAAAAATAAAACGAAATACATTTATGATTATTTAATAAAAGTAATAAAAATATTATGATTTTACGACAATAATTATAGCTGTGAAAATACAAAATAGGTATATTATGAATAGTAATATATAMATAATATATAATTTATAAAATGTATATTCTTATCTATAAATATACAATAAGCATTAAGGAAAATACAGCAGAAAAAAGTAACATAAAATAAATGGAAGAACTAAGATAAAAAAATACTTTACATAAAAACACAAAAGTATTATCGATTTCAATGTTTCAAAAACAAAACATACATATAATACTACAATATCCGTAAATAAAAATMAAAATCATAAGGTATTTGACAAAATTGAAAGCGTGTGTTTTTTGATCATCAATTATACGCTATTTTAACGAAATGTATACAATGGTGCAGGCCAAATAGCCAAATAACTAAATAAAATAAACTTAAACAAATATTATAAATCATATATATATATATATATATACCGAGGTAACACAAATATAATTGTGGTATAAAATATAAACAAAAACGCCAATATAATTCGGTAAAATCATACCTGTAGATATCTGAGTTGTAGAGCAGCCGGAGAATCGCTTATAACTTCTGAAGCTTCGCGAAGGGCTCGAGATGCTTTTTGTTCACCTTCAGCAGCGATGACCTTAGCTCGAGCTTCTCTGGCTGCCTCAGCTTCCGCCGCCATTGCCCTCTGCAACTGAACTGGCAATCTCACGTCCTTGCTGAAATGTTTTGTCACGCGTGAACGAAAGTGTCATCATTATGTAGTATACATTTTATACCTACATTGAACAATAATTATCAATGCAGAATATTAGAACTCACATTTCCACCCGTTCTACTTTGATGCCCCACGACTCTGTGGCCTCGTCCAACGACACTTGCATRGTCTTAGATATGGCGTCTCGATCGCTGAGAATTTCATGCAACGGCCTAGTGCCCAAGACATTTCTCAACGTGGTTTGAGCCAATAACCTAGTAGATTGATGAGCGTTGGCCACATTGGCTACCGATATCGTAGCGTTGCACACCCGATAGTATACCACGGCGTCCACGGACACCGTCACGCTATCTTTAGTCAAAACCTAAACATCGTGCATTACTTAGTAAACCTTCTAACCACATAAGTCTATTGTACCCATAAAGTATAGATCGTTTATTTTAAATAAAGAAAAAAAAATACTTCGTAAACATATATAAAGGTTATTTGAGTTGGTATCCGTTTGGTGAGTGACCTACTAGGAACACGGTCCCACCGCGATCTACAGTATATATATGCAGTATATTAAGAAAAAACTGAAATAAAAATATATTAACTCCTGCAATTGGAAAAAGATGTGCTGGAAACAATATTATTAGAATAGTAGATATACGATGAATGGAAATCATACCACTGCACTGCAGTCAGAAATATATTGACTATATATTCATTTGACTTTCAATCATTCAAAATGATTTTGTAAATCTTGTAAAAAAAGGAGCGGGCGTATATAGGAGAGGGTTAAGAGTTTAACTCTCCAAAAATGTAATGCTAAACATGCCACTGATGGATCTTCAAAAATCTAATGTTTATGATCCATATTAAAATTCAAGATCTTAATAAACATCTACTACCACGTAGATAAATATTATTACGACTAAATAAAAAATAAGTAGGCAAGTACACGCCTACTCAGTCGTCAGTCGTCATTGAGTTATTCACTAACCTAAATGGATATACTAAATCATCATTGCATGCAAAAACAATTATGAGTGAACGAAACTGGTAACTAAGTAGGTATCTCTATATTTTTATTTTATATATTGTACCTATACTATATTTATATCACTTATATTATAGTAATTTATTTTACTATTAGTATTACCGAAGGTTGAACTAATATTTACAGAAAACATTGATTTCATTATAATTTGTAACAGAATATATTTATGTCATAATATATAATTGTTGTGAACTTTAAATCAATAAAGAGTTACCTTAGAACGGTGTAATTTTAGGATCGGACCTTGTAGTATAAAAAGGCATATCTTAAAATTAATCTAAATATTATGAAAATGTCACTGTTGATATAAAATAGAATAATATATGTGTTGATTAATGAATAATATTTTTGTATAACAACAAAATAAGCTAAAACTGTAATTCTTATTGTCAAGATATCTATCTATAATATCTTCAAAATTTGAAATTCAAATATATGTCAATAAAAAAAAAGTGATCTTTTATATTTTCCAGATTTTTTAGATATTAGTAAACCTTGTGTTAAATTTAAAATAAAAAAAAATTGTACAGCCATACATACCACAGAGTCAAAATATTTTGAAAATTATGTATTTTTAATATGCTAATAGGAATATATGATGCAATTTTGTATAAGGTTATTCATTTTTAAATTACGGCAAAAAAATAAAATTTTAAAATAATTATAATATAATTTATTGAATAAATAACTCTACCATTATAAGAATCTTATAACCTAAGTACTAAATAAAAAATACCATCTATGTGTTTATATATTTTGAAAAATTTTAAATGTCTGTTTTAATATTTAATAAACGCCTATTTTATTTTGGTTAAAGGTCATTTTTTAATTTATTTTTGTTCGATATCATATCATTCATATAATTACTTATACAATGAACATTTGAATTATATTTGTTCACCTGTATTAATTGTTTTTTTCCTGCTAAGTTACACACTAAAACTAAACCTAAAAACCCTATGATATTAATCTAATATTGTAAAGATAAAGTTGATATTTCTTTCCATCCCCTAAAAATCAAATTAATATATAATTGAATTATTGATTTATACCATAAATATAAAACAAAATCGTATGCATTGCTTAAAAAATATAAAATAAATAAATAATAAAAAAAAAGTATTATAAAATGTATTAATTTTATATAGTGCATCTCATAGGGTTTTATTAATATTTAATTTTTAAAGTACGATATCACAATATAAAAAATTAAATAGGTATCAATAAAAAATATTTTTTATTATTATATTTTAAATAATTTACAATCGATACAACATATTATTATGTACAATGAGCAAATTTGATAATTGACAGGAGAACTTAACATTTGTGGGCAGGCACTCAGCAGCACCACCCGTCCGGGTACTTTTTCAGTATCGTAGGTTTTTTTTTTAAATTTTTTTTTAGTATGTCTTTAGGCCTCTGTCTTTTTACGTCTTCTACGTAAGTACATTACCAGGAATTGAAGTGAAAGAAAGTTGATTTATTAATGGATTAGTATAAGAGTTCAAGTTGGTATGAAATTTAAAGTAATATAATTTTGCTAATTGATTGAAMGTAGGAATTTTTAGGTCTTTGTGTAGATTATTATTTGTGAAGTACAATGAAAAAGATGTTATTAGTCGTATTGAAAAGTCTGAAGCATTTTGGTGTTTGATGGTTTTGCCGTGCTCCATGACTGGATACCGTATGTCCAAACTGGTCGAATTATTGATTTGTATGTAAAAAGTTTATTGGAAAGGGAAAGTTTGGATTTTAAGAGTGGTCTAAGAATATGAAGTCTGGAGTTAACAGTTTTACATTTAAATTTTATGAGTGGACTCCAGGTTAAGCGTTTATTAAGAGTTAGACCAATATATTTAACTTCGTCTGCCTTTGGAATTGTTAGATTGTTTAACGTAACAGGTGGAGAATTTAGATTTCGTAGCATGAATGTTACTTGAACAGATTTAGTTTCGTTTATTTTAATTTTCCATCTATTAACCCACGAGCTGATCATATTTAAATATGGTTTTGGATCAATAAAAACCTACGAAATTTACTAGATAAAGTCTATACACCTTTAAGCTAAAACCCACAAAATTGGTCCTATAAAACATTTTTAAATGTACTAGTGTTTAATAACATAAACTTAATTGTTATAAAACATAAAAGTGGTGATAACCTATTAGTGTTAGAAAGATTTAAAATGCCACCCAGGCAAATATTCAGTTAGTAGTATATAGATTCCATCGAAGACTCGGTAATTTTAACTGTGCTTAAATCTACTTACTTGCTATTATAGCCTAACTGCAATGTTTACGATATTCACTGACGTAACCCACTCAAATGGTAGGCACCTGATTCTGAAAACCCTTCTTAATATCAAAACAATTTTTTTTTTGGTTCTCAGTTCTAAAATAATAACCTTTTTTTATTAAAAAAACATGGTTATACCTTTGCATTATATTATAGTCTCTATATACTCTATAATAGGTATATATAATTATACAGTACACCTATTTAAATATGTATATATTATACATAATATATGTTTATCCGAATTATCTATAATAATTACCTAACGATTCCATCGCATGATGGACTCAATATAATAATGTTATATTGTATATTAACGATAGTGGTACTATAAAAATATGATATTAAAATATTATGTTTTATATTGTACGATACCTCTTGTGGTGGCACGTCGTACGTGCGTGTTCTCAAGTCGACACGCGCGTAGTTGTCAATGCAGGGCAAAATGAAGAATATACCTAGAAAGAGAAAATCGCTTATTGTTTGTAAATAATTTAGTGTGTTTGTATACATATTTAATATATACTCACCAGGCCCTTTCGCCCCACCCGACACCAGACGCCCCAGACGAAATATTACAGCTCGTTCGTACTCCTGCACTACCTGCCAGAGACAATCAAACAAATACTATATATTATAATGTTATTATAATATGAAGCAATGATGTGCAACAGAGGATTTGTGTTGACGTAAATTCCAATTTCAAAGTGCTCACTAACTTTGAAACAGACGAATAGAGAAAACGGGAACGTGATGACAACAAGTGCCCAAGCACATCCCGTCATAAATTTACCGCATAATCCTGGATCGGTCGGCTCACTATCCTCGGCTGAAAAATGAAAAAGATTAAATAATAATTATTGCAATAGTTATAAAATAATACCAATTGTTCTTACTATTTTATTTTGAAACAGATTGAATAAAAGCTTTTTAAAAACAAAAATAATTTAACCGATGACCGATATGATAAGCCCTCGACCCATTTGTAGAATCAAATCAAACAACAAACGTATCGACAAATCGGCCAAAAACAAAATAAGTGCATAAATGTATCTCGTGTAAATTATACATAATTATCTATATAGATATACCAATACGGTTATTACCTACCCCTACCTATTGTTTAATGTATAATATTGAATGTGTGGTGAATGATGATGTTAATATGAAAATATACTTTGATCGAAAATAACACAAATTATTGAGTGTTACCAAGTTCAAACATTTTACCGAATTAAATTTTTTTTTTTGTATCGAGAGCCAAAAAAGGAACCGCGTTAGCATTACTTCTCCTCTGACTCCCATCGTTTATTGATTACAATTACATCAGCAATTATTAGACGGTGGGGCAATCCCCAACTCACTAATATTACAACAACATTWTTCAAGTTAAGGGGGTACAATACTGGGAGGCTCTGCCTCTCTAGGTACCTTCGGCTACAATAAATTGCTTAATCAACTAGATTTACATCCGGATTCTGCGTCAGGATCTCACCGCCACACCTCMGTGGCCTGGCGAACTCGCTCCTCTTCTTTCTTGAGTGAGAAGATGCGTTCGACCGTCCCATAGAACAGYCGAAATGACTCCTCCACGTTAATTAATATAGCTGACTTTTCATTCGAGCCTGCTGGAAGCTGGCCAAATGGCGGCTCGCAAATTATGACCTGTATGTCGGCTGTACACGGTTTGCGCCCCAGCTGAGTGGACAGAGGGTCACGGAGGGCATTCCAGAGCACTCAAACAGAGTATGCTCCACCGTGTCCTCGCCACCACTGCACTGCAGACACATCGGACTAGCGATTTACCGAATTACCTATCGTCCTATCGTGAGAAGAGGTATCGATTTAATTTTAATATTTTATACAAGCTACCTAGCAGAACACTCATCGGTCATATTTTAATATTTTATAAAAAATAATATTATACAACATAAAATATTAAAATAAAATCAATATACCCAACACTTCTAATGTTCTAATTTACCCCATATATGTTGCAAAATGATAAACCGTTGAACGAAAAAATACCTTCTAGTTTCAATGGCTGTTATATGAAAAACCCTGACATTTAATCAAATATTTCAAATAAAATGTTGTATGAAAAGTATTTGTAAATAACCTATGTGTATAATATATATATATATTTTTTCATGAGAATAAATTATTCGAATTCAACAAAATGCATGTGTTTTAATTGCTACAGTTTCAACTACATCCATAACCATCCAATCATCCTTAAATGGTTTTGGGAGTTTAGAATATATAATTCTATATTTTAATTTTAGATTCTGAGCGGAGCGATGAATTTATTGATTTTACAACAATAAGCGTTTTCAAAAAAATTAATTTAACTTAATATTTTAATAATATAAACTTAGTTTTATAAGCTATCCGTATTCCGTACGCCCAGAATCGATTTCATAGATGCCTAATGATTTGCCATTGAACTTAAATTGAATCAATTACATTACAGCGACTCGATGACGATGAAGGAACACTCGACACCTACTGGAGAGGATAGAATGATTAACTTTTTTTATTTGTATGATGAACTTTTAWTTCATCATCTCTAACAATGTGTTAATTGAATAATCATTAACAAAGTGTAAAAAATTTCATAGTGAAGAATTCACCCATAGTAACTGAAGAAACTTCAACACGACTTAAGAAATTTGTTGATAAAAAAAAATAGAGAATAATAAGATACATATTTAGGATAGCTAATTATACTATACATTATTATATAATACTAAAAATATAAATTTTTAAAGTGTAAAAATGACGTAAAACAGGAGCAATAATTATTGGCCCATGGGGGGATCGAACCCACGACCTTCGCGTTATTAGCACGACGCTCTAACCAACTGAGCTAATGGGCCCTTGTGAACTTTATTAATATTATTAGATTCTGAGCGTAGCAATGAATGTAAATCTGTAGGTTTGAATGTTTGGCGAATATGTATTATTTAATTTATCTTTAGTTTTAGTGTGTAATAAACTCATAAGTTATAATTGGGGTTTGGAAGTTATAGGAGCTAAAAAAGGCAATATATGCACAACAAAATTTATAAAATATGCTTGAAAAACTGTGAAACATGGAAAACAAATTCTATGAATACGGAAAATATTAATCAAATATCGTTATTCAAAAACATATGATTTCGTATTACTAATTAATACATAAAAAAAAAAAAATTATGTTATTTAACACTAAAATACGGCGCATAACTGATTGGCATTTAAATGTCAATTGACATTTAATTGAACTGAAAAAATAGTTTAAAAAATATATTTTCATTATTTCTGAAGTTAAATACTAAATAAATATATTTTTTTATAATACCTGATAAGTTGTTTTTTATTGAACCACATTATTATAAAAGATTATTTAAAACAATTTTAAGATAAAAAAAAAATCAATTAAAAAATATATTATAATATATAGGTACATACATGATAAACATATGAAAATCAAGAAATATACTCTTATTTTTTTCAAATTGATGAAATATGCAAAATATGCACTTTTAATTTTTAAACTCAACATTGTACGACTTGGATTTTTAGCTTGATCTGCTATAAATCGAAAGCATATAGAAACATATGCAACTCCTATAATGCAACACATTTTAAAGCAGTAAAATTTTGATTTTCAACTTTGAGGGATGTTTCCTGCAGGGTACCTACTATTATAGAAAATTCAATCTAGTTGGTATTTTGGGTCAATGGGGCCGTTAAAAATAAAGAATTTTCTGAGTATTAAAATATAAACAGGAAAACATTTTAAATAAAGAAACAATTAGGATCAACGAATTTTTTACATAAAATCAGTTTTTGACGAAATTGATTATACATTGTTAATTATTTGTATTTCACAGACGAATAATTGTTAAGTTCTGATTTTTTACCAAAAATTTATCTATATTAATATTTTTTTTAATTTTCTTGAGTTTATATAATTTTTTTTATACATTGGCTATATTTAGATATATATTAGACATTTAAAATGTTCTAATAAGATTTAAAAACAATTTTCGATTTGCGAATTTATGATAAAATGCAGGACAAAATAAATKTATTTTGTCATGATAAAATATTTGGTTTTGAATACAATTCATTTGGTTTTTTTAGTGTCTGTATATAATATATCAACTATAAGTTTAATAACTCACGAGAGGGTACACGTAAAGTATATGCAATTAAGTATCTCCTCAAATAACTTAATTATATATATATAGTCTATATTGACAACTGAACAGTGAACTATGTAGACTATATAGGTACTCGTGTTACAAAATGTATTGAAAGTAAAAATGTATTACAAGACTGACACGTGTCATCATGGTCGTCCACGGGTAGTCTCCTATAAATATAATATAAGCGTAATATTATGCAACGTCAAATTTTTCTGGTGGTAATTCATGTCAACGGATGCGAAAAACTCGAAAAAGTATAATATTGTTTTGACAAGGACAGAGAGTGGGCTATTTCAGATGCAGTCGACGTTTGTGGAACTGCATTGTTTTCCGAAATAAACTACGCAATGTTCGTTTTATAACATACACGTTTCACATATTTTTGAATCAGAATAAGAAGTTTTTGTTTTGTATTTTTTTTACAATTTTAATTTATAATATAATTTTTTCATTATTCTTTTAGAACATTTAGGGATTTTTAAACCATTTGTAGAAATTTTAATCAAACATTTTAATTTTAAATTAAGATTTGTACATACACGTACCTAATCGCTATTCTATAGATTTGTATGTAGTTAAATCAAACTACAATTATCCATACCTATAAAAAAAAGTTCATAATGAATGAAAATAATTATTTTTCATTAACCTAACCGGCATCGAAAATTAAACAATCGATGCAGACGTGCCTAATAAAAAAAAAAAATTACGTCCAATAAAGTTCGACTAGATTGGTGTCGGACAATTATCTAGAGCGACATTTCAGGACACATGCCAATGGTGATTGGTGGCACGCACGTACACATTTAATTTGCTTGGTTACCTAAAACTTTAATACTAAACTGTTTTAGTGTTTTAGTCAGTTTTTTTAGGATATATTTTAAATATAGATACCCGAAACATTCTAGGCTTATCCCTCCCCATAAAAGTTAACCGAGTCGGTCTGGCACTTAATGTTATTCATATAATACAAGGAGATTATATTTTATGATAAATAATTTGTTATTCATACTCTTAAAACGTTAATTTTATACATCAATACATTCATCACTATTCACTAATCAAGTGACTTTTTCAGAATTGTTGTTGAATAGAAGATGTAGAAAAATTAATCTAAACGTTTTTTACAATATTTCAGCTCTTTCAGTTAACCTAACTACAATAACAATATTTTACTAGATTTTATCACAATGTCTTTTAATATTTCACATTTGATATTTACATAAAAATATTTAGAGCAATATTCTTAGCAAGGAAATGATACCTATTAAATTGAATTAGAGATCATGTGACGCGGATTTCCGCACGTTAGTAATATTTATATAATATAATCACCAACAAAGAAACATTAATCCGACTAAAAAAGTCCACGCGTTGCACCATTACGATTGAAAAAATAATATAGATGATTTAGTTCCATAGGTACTTCACCTACGATTATATACTATTAATTATTATGGATCATACATTAATACTGTATTATCGTAACGTTCTAATAACCTCTGACTATTTTCATACCATAGTAAAAAATAAATAGACTGATAAATAATTGATAACTAAAATAATTCCACATCGATTTGGTGTAATTGAATCGTTAATATTTTGTTCGTCTAGACTTAGATAGGTACCTACT